TAAACTATATAAATAAACTAATAATACTATAAAATCTACAATAATAATATAAATAATATAATAAAATTTAAGAGAAACTATAATAAATATATAATAAAATTGTTAATAAAATTTGACTAATAAAAATTGTCTAATAAAATATATATAATCTAAATAAATTTAACTAATAAATTTTGCTAATATAACACTATCTATTTAATTCTTATTCTAACTCTAATAATAATTAATTTTAGTATTTGTTTTGATTCTGTAATATAATTTGGTTGATCAATTGCAATTTAATAACTGTCACTGCTGGTGACAATTAGATTTTTTTTTTTAAATTACTTTTGTATTTTACTATTCTTTAAACTGTAATCCAGGCAAATTTGCCTGGAAAATTAAAGTATATTTAGTATCACTATTTTCTAATTTAGAAATTTTTTGCCACACGATTTTTTAAATAAAAAAATAATTTATTAATAATATAAGGTCTATATTTATTATAAAATATATTCTTAAAAATATATTTTATAAACTTTATTATAAAAATTTTTTAAAATTATTAGTAAATTTTTAAGTAATAAAGCTTTAAAGTTTTAGTTTAAAAATTTTTATTATTAAAACTTTTTTAAGATTTTTTAAAATTTCATATGTTTCCGAAGCTAAAAAAATTTTTTGCTCTTAATACAAGTCCAAATTTTTATAAGTAAATTGCAATACTTATAATAATAAAAAATGTTATCTTTTATATAAACTAAAATATTGTATTAAGAGCTATAGCTTTAAAATTAATATTTAAAGAGTTTGTCAAGAATAAGTAGATAATTTTTTTGGTTAAAAATTTTTTTCTAAATTGGTATACTTTTATCTTATAAGCAACTTAAAATTTTTTTCTTATAAAATAAAATTAAATACTGCTATAATATAATCCTTATTTTCAAATATTATTAAAAAAAATTTTATTTAAATATTTTAAAAATTAAAAAATATAGATTATAAGTATATTTATGATAATTTTCTAGGCAAATTTGCTTGGAAAAGCTTACAGTTTAAGGGATAACTTTAATCTTAACTAATTTTAAATTTCTTTTGTTTTTATAATTTTTATAATACTTATCACTAAGTTATAATTTTTTATTAAACCTAAATATTAAGCTCAAAATTATATAAATTTTTATAAAAAATCTTAATAAAGATTATCATGTTTTGTAGTCTGATCTTAAACTAATAGACATAGTTAGTTTTAAGATTAGTTTAAACTTAAAAAAAATTGGTTTGCTCTAGGATTAAGACTAAACTAATTTAAACTAGTCTGAATTAACAAAGTTTTAAAAATGAAGACTAATAGATTAGACCAGATCTAAACTAGAAATAGACCAAACTGAACTAGACCAAACTATTAACATTCCTAATCAAAAGCAAAAACAAAAATTAAATTACAATTCAGAACAAGCTAGTCTAAAAATTTTTTATAATTTTAATCAAAATTTTTAATATTATTTTTTTTACTTCAATTTATAATAAATATTAAAAAAATTTTAATCTTGTATTAAAAAACTATTAAACCTTTGAATAACCAACTATATATATAGTAAATAAACATAATATTTTTGGAGTTGTTAATATAAATATAAATAAATTTAGTAGTTTAGTAGATTTTAGTATGTCTAAATCTAAACTCCGAATTTTCAGATTTAGCGAATTTTAGCTTCATTCCCCACAATTAATAAAATCAATAAATCGAAAACTTTTTTTCTTTAATAAATACAATTTTAATATAAAATTTATACATTAGTTGGTTTAATTTGATGTTAATTTCGAATTATATATAAGTCAATTAAAAATTGACAATTTGAGCTTTGACACAGTTTGTATAAATAGATGTTAGTTGTTCTGAACCTTCCAACTCGTTATATCCAGAGTTCGATGTAGCGAGACAACTGTATTATATGAGAATTTTATCGGTGTCAAGCATCTGATTTTTTTTTTTTGTTTGTTTTATATGGCCTCACCATGTTTGCTATGTTTTGAATAAAGGTGAAGTGACTACAATTAACCTATTAAGGTAGCATATCTAGGGTTTTACGATCTGTGTGAGCAGTTTGAACAACGACCACAACAGCAAATAGTAAATATTATTTAACAAAAACGGAAAAGGATACGCTCTTCGATCATTTCAAAGATAGTTCATTTGAGTGACTTGCATTCAATAAAATGATAGCTGTTTTTTCACTTTATTTCAGAGATCCTCTGATCAACTGATAAAGACAAAATAATTGAACTATTTTATTTTACATCGGACACTCTAATGGGCGCCCGCACCTTGTTTTGCATAGTGATCAATGAGCCGCTCCAGATCGAAATTGGGATCGTTCGGATCCGTTACGACTATTTTTTAATAAAAAAGAGGAGATACGTTATATAATTAAACTCTGATGTGAATACATACTAAAAGATGTCATATATAATTCATGGTTTAATTAATTTTGTAGAAAACCCATAAATCCAGGAAGGATTCTTATATTTATTATATATTTTCCACTTATCAAGAAAAAAAAAATCAAATAAAAAATACCGTCGGTAGGGCTTTTAGGAGTAAAATAAGCTGCCTTTGCTTTATTAATTAATTCTTCTTTATGGCGATATTTGATTGCAGCACTTTCTTTTTCTGCAGATTTCTTTAGTGAACTGGAATGCCATAAACCATAAACAACTCCAAAAGTCAATGCGGTCCATCGAGCAACCTGTATTTATTTATTTATTCCCAAAGCATTGGCATTCGAGCTCATGTTTGCAAAAAGGTAGTATAGGGATACTTGATTATCTAGCCAATAACATAACAACTAAAAGCACTTACATTAAGATTTATTGAAGCAGCCATCATTTATGTAAAAGATGATGCTGTAAATCACGGTCTAAAGTACCCCAGTAAATAGTTATCGGTTAATGCGGACATTTCGATGGTGCATATATTTAGATGTGTAACCTATGAAAAAAAAAAACGTACCGTAAAACGCCGTATAAGGTACCCGGGTATCTTACAATTCACATGATAAAAATTTGATTTGTACCCCCCGGGTACCTTGTATGGAGGAGGGTATATTATATGGGGGGTATCTTGTGAAAAACATATATTAGCCCATTAGTAAAAAAAGATTTTCATTATTAAATCGATCCTTGATTTATACCCGGGTCTCTTACAAAACACCACAACAAATAACCTTGAAACATAAATCAAGGGGGGTACAAATCAAGGGGGGTACCTTATACGGCGTTTTACGGTACTACGTATAACAAGTAACAATAACAAAGATTAAAAAAAATACTTGATACGTAGTTTAGATACGTACGTAGCTTTTTTAAAAACTTGCTATAGTCTGCCACACTTAGAGACTACATTTTATACCCTATGGGTATAAAGAAAAAATAATTAATCGTTAAGATATCTTAAGTAAAAATGTTCAGACCTAATTTTATGTACTGTACGTATAAATGCATCTTTAATTTATCTTAACATAAGCTTATAGGTTTTTTTTTTTGAAAATTACTATTTGTACACGGTGTGTTTGAACACGGGTACGTATTGATTTGTAAATCTGTGTAACATGCCAATCAAAACAACTTTTGTAAACGAAAAATTAAGCCATTACTTCGGGTTAGGGTAAGGGAGCATTTAGGATTTGGGCAGGTTATAGCATATATCAAAATTTCGCAAGGAATTTTTTTTGTTAGAATCCAAAAGGTGGTTTCATAAGCGAAATTTTGAGATATCGGTAATATTTTGAAGAAAGCAATAATTTTACGTTACACCTGATCGTGCAATCTGATTGGCTCTCTATATTAACCGTGTACATACACACCGTGTACAAATAGAAATGCTCTTTTTTTTTTTTCTTAGTTGCTTAATTTTTATTGGCTGAATTTTGTTATACGTACGTACGTATAATTTTTTATACGTACAACTTAATTGGTTTTGCTACGTACGTACGTACGTACGTACGCAATAAAATGTGAATGCGTTTTATGTACATACGTACGTACGTACTATCTGGTACTGTATTATAATAAGAAATTCTAGCTAAGTTGCCACATTAAAGTCTAAACATACTTTGAACAATTTGAACATCGAAAATGTAAAACATTACCTGTAATTATAGTAATATCAAAAAAAAAAAGGTTATGTTTTTTATAAAGAAATCATTAGCCAATAAAAGTAACATCCTCGTGCTCAAACCGAATTTCTTGGTTTAAGTCCAGGGTTATTAAAAGTTCTCAATATATACTTAACAATGTCTTCTAATGATTTCGAAAGTGCACTTTCAAAATTTAAAGTGCTCAACAGAGAACAGCGTAAAATTTTGTGAGTAAAACAATATTTAATATAATAAAACCAAAATAATTATTGAGATTTTATTTTTTTTGTATACTAGTTTAACTGCATTAGTTGAAGACTGCACTCCGCACGAACTTTACACATTACAACAAGCTTTACAAATCAAGAATTATGGTGGTTTTGATATTGTTGGAACTTTACCTCTTGAACTCTCTGTGAAAATTTTTGAATATCTTGATTGTAAAGATCTATGCAGTTGTCGAGAGGTTTGTAAAATATATATATATATATATATATGTATAGAAATAAACTTTTGCTATTATATATTATTAAGGTATGCCAAAAATGGAGAGGCATCACAAAAGATTCCACTATTTGGAGGTCTAAATGTCTAGAAATGCACTATCATGATAAAGAATCAATTACAGCAGACGACATAAAAAATATTCCAAAAGAAGGTTGGGAAAAATTGTATAGTAGATTATATCGACGAGAGGTTAACTGGAACAATGGAAGAGTTCAAAAGCTTAGATTTTTAAAGGGACATAAGGATCGTATAACTGATTCAAAATTAAAAGGTAATATTCTTGTCACTGGGTCAGCGGATAGAACGGTGCGAATTTGGAATGTTGATACTGGCCAATGTGAACACATATTCTCCGGAAATGTTTTTAGTTGTGTTGATTTTTTACCCGAAGAAAAGATCATAGCTGCTTCTACTTATTTCCGGTAAGGATATTACGTAATTGATAACACCTCTTTCCAAAAATTCCAGAGGTAACTAGTTAGATATTATTATTATTATTATTTGTAGGTCTTCCTTTCTTTGGAGCACGGAAACTAAAGAATTGTTGGGCGAGTTTAATGGTCATGTGAGTGCCGTAAGATGTATCAGTTTGTCGAAATCTTTTATTGCTTCTTGTGCATTTGATGGGAGCGTAATTGTTTGGAACTGGAAATCTGGCGAGAAAATTGCAACAATACCAGCAGATGTAAGTTTTTTTTTTGGTTAATTTGCATACAAATGAAACATATATATTTATTTTATGTTCCATTTTAAAGTCAATTGCAGTTCGAATATTTGATACTACGATTTTATCACTTAGTAGTCAAAAAATCGAAGCATTTGATATAAATGATGGAACATGTATTTTTTCATCACCATTTGAAGAAGGGCTAGTGGGCTGGTCGTATATTCAGAATTATTTGTCATCAATAGAAAATCCGCATGATGGAATTTATGAACAAATGCTATCATCACTGCCAGTAGTTAAGAAATTAAGCAATTATTCTTCGGTTCGTGTATTTGATTTCGATGCGCGTAAAAGTAGATTTGTGCGTATAGATGGGCCATCGTCTGTTTTATGGTTGACCTTATTCGACCATAATTATAAGTCAAAGAGAATAGAATATCCTTGTAATGAAAATACTACAGGTTTAGATATTAGCAAGGAAATCTTTAGAACCATTAACGTGGATTGCCGTCGCATCATAGCTGGATGCTTAAGTGGAATCATTGTTCTTTTAGAATTTGATGAAAATTAACGAACATTATAATTTACTAACAAAGATGCCGTATTTTCCGTGGAGAGTACCCAGAGTCTCTTACAATCTACATCAGTCTAGTTTTTTTTGATTTATACTGGGTACGTTGTATAGCACAGGATACTAACTATGTGAGGAATCTTGTGTGGTCTTCCGAGTTCTGATTGGACGTATGTCTCTTATTTGACAAAGTAGATTAACTTCAAAGAAACGGTCTTATCAATTCATATATGGGACACCCACAGCAAAAGCAGTGAATGGGACTATATATTATATAGTCCCATCCCCTGCTTTTGCTGTGGGCGTTCCCATATATGAATGTTTCTTTTTAATTATAAAGTATTTTAAATGTAGTCAGTCACAATTTGTGCTACTGTCAGTCGTTTTTAAATAAAACTTTACATATTTTTCATAGCGTTAAAATCTCTTTATAGCGTGCACTTAGATTTTATTAATTAAAATTGCGACTTTCGTCTTGATAAAAAACAATTTTAAATTTCTACACTATATCGATATATATTCTTAATTAAAATATGAAAAATGAAATACTTATTTGTGCGGGTGACAAACTCAAACGGAAACTTAAAAATAAATAAACATCGATATCTTATATGTATGTACAATTAGAAATTTTATAATGGACGTTAGAGTCTGAAGCTATAGGAGTAAGTTATCGCTCACTATATATCGATATATAAAATTTATTCCGTCATTCCAAATAGTCCCTCAAGGTAGGTATGAACATTCTATTTTGGGTTTGTATTACTCGCACAATTAACAGTATAGGATAAAAAAAAAAAAAATAGAAAAAGAAATTCATCGTGTTTCCGCATCGGGGAATCGAACCCCGGCCGTCGCGGTGAAAGCGCGAAATCCTAGCCACTAGACCAATGCGGATTTATTACTTATTTTCTTTAATTCGAAATATAACTAGAAGTTCGATTATCCTATTTCAGTATTTGGACGTTTATACAATTATCAATATGTACAATAACGATAAGCACCAATAAGATATCAGATAAACTCATTTAAATTTCCATATAACCATACATTCCGTTTCACTACGTTCCTGGTATGTGATTACAGAAACGAATAGATTAGCGTTAGTGGGCCCACCAAAATTCAGCAAATCGGCCCGAATTTGGGGTCAGGGATGGGCCGGAGCCAAGTGGCATTAAGCAATAATACCGCCCGACTATATTATAGCAAACTTATCATTTGGGCAGCTTTACTTACAGCTGTTATCATTATTCCTGGGACACTTTATGAAAAATTAACCGAATAATTATTCAGCCGATTCGATCAGTTATTGATTTCGGCATGATCAGTATAATGTTTATTATTTATGGAAATAGTCTAAAGCCAGGTATGTGCGTATGTACGTGGGTTTTAAATTGGTTACTAATCGATTTGTAAATTAAAACTCACGTGGAACATATATTTTAAACGACCTCTATTTACAATGCAACATTAATCGATAATGACCAGATAACTAATATCAATATAACGAAAAAAATT